AAGTGAGGCAAAAAGAGTACGAATGTTGCTCCAAAATATAAAGCACTTTTCTTTCTACAAACTGATTGAGCTGCAACAGAAGAAGAGAGCATATTATGAGCAGCACAAAATAAATAAATAAGTGAATAAATAAATAGAACACATAAATGGAGCAAGCTTACATATTAGATGTGTTTGCCATCATGGAACTGAGCATTTCTCGATGACTTGAAGGTCTCGAGGAATTCTTGAGCCTTTTGGAGTTCGAGCTTTTTCCTCGACTTGTCCCACTTGTGCTCGGCAGCCAATATCTCAAGGATACGAGGCACTGCCCGCCTGGCAGCATCTGTGTCGAGGAAAGCAAGGCGGGATCTTCTGGCAATGAAGTCCACCACTGACTCACAGTATTCATTCCGAGCACAGTACGCAACCTCGGCTTCTAGGATTGGGTACCCATGAGCTAGTCTCTTCCCCATATTTTCATTCTGAACCACAATATCACCATATTTGAAGAAAAAGAATGACATTTTATTTTATTTTTTTAATAGAGTGAATCTCTAAAGAAAGAAAGTCAAAAACGAATGTGGGTGATGACTGATTGAGCGAACCTGTGCAATGGCAGCCACTCTTTCGGCAGAAGTACCATAAGCATGTGATAAATGCTTTGCTGCAGCAGTGTCCATAACACCTGGAACAACCTTTCCTCCATACGACTTCTTCATGCGCACATACTGCTGTGCTAGTACGGTAAAAGATGATGGGTCCCATCCATCGGCACCCACGAGCTGTAGGTTGTAAGTCATGCATTTGTTTGCAGGGCTCAACTTCCCGGACTTTATAACTGCATCAACTGCATCTTCTGCCATACTGAAAAAAATGGCTCGAGTTAGCCAAAAAGATGCTAACCAGGAAATCTAAAACTATTAGAGGTTCAAGACTTCATGCATATAGTAAAACACAAGATAAGAAAAAACCAAGTCCCTTAGACTCGATGTTAATGAGCCAAAACAATTAAAAGAAATAACCTTTCAACAACAAGTGGAAAGATATCGCTACATTAAAGTTTACCTTCTGTATGTGGTCCACTTTCCACCTGTAATTGTAACTAAACCAGGAAAATCTTCAGTTAAAACATGATCTCGAGAAATACTCTCAGTGCTTTTTGCATTTGGATCCATAGCTAATGGTCGAATGCCACTCCAAGCCGACAGAACATCCATGCGCCGGACCTAATATAAATTGATGTTCGTTAAGAAAATGAACAATTAGAGAAAAGAATGCTGACGAAAAGAAAAAAGAACAAGAGATTCATTATACATGCTCCTGAGTTATATCTATAGTGGAAAACTTAAGTAAACACCATCAAGCAATATTTGACAAAAAAGAGAGACACTATGCTATATATTTTACTATTGCACACATCAACCAAATAGTACCATAGATGCTCATTGTTTAACAATCGAGACTGTTATTATATGCCAAACAAACCTCTAAGCCCTTATTTTAATTTTTTTTTAAAAAAAAAATATAGGTCGAGACTATGCAGCTGGCTACAAAAACCACAGTTTAAAGAGCTCTTCGGATCATGTAAACTAGCAAACTAGTTGAACACATTAAATCAAAACAATTAATAGACCTCCTGATGAAATGCACATGGCTCTCCATCAAGAAAGTGAGCAACTACCAATAACAATTCATACACATTGTCATTTACACCACAATCCCACTACTAAAATCCATTTGTACTTTATTCGTAACACTAACAATCGCACAAGAGCATAACATTTTCTGGAATATAAATGCATCCAGTAAAAAAAGGTCAACGGAAGACAGTGCAAAACTGTGGTGGATTAATAAGATATAATGTTTCTATCAACAGATAATTAGGTATTTTGATCTCCCTGACTCTCTCCCTGTGAATGAACAAAAAACTGCAACGGTCAAATGAATTATGGAAAATATGAGAGACTCCATCATAGATAAAGTAGAAGAGCCCTGAGAATTTGGCAACCATATCCAACAAAAATTCCTTTGTTAACGGAGAAAGGCTGAACTGTGTGATGACACAAGAAAAAACAAGAGAATCCCTTTGTTAACGGTGTGTGATGACACAAGAAAAAACAAGAGAGATACGAAAAGAAATAGAAAGTAAAAAATTTCAAACCCACTAAAACCACAAACCTTAATATTAAGATAATCTGAGATGGCATCTAATATGAATTCAATCTCATCCTCGTGTGGTTCCGGTAGCATTGTAATACTGGTGTTTGAGTCGGTGGTCCCAGCGACCGTTCTCCCTAACCATGGAAGCATGAAGACAACACGACCATCCTTAGTTTTGGGAACAATCAATCCCATTCCATCTGGGGAATAGTAATCGGGAAGCACTACATGGACACCACTGCTGGCACAGATCATTGGCTTTGCTTCTCTATCCGCCATCTTCCTCACAGAATCACAAAATGGTCCAGCGGCATTTACAACAACCTTTGCATACGTGTCAAACTCCTTCCCTGCACACATTGAATAAAGTTAAAATTTCAAAAGGATAATATAGTTGCATTGTTGCACATAGACCAGCAATCACATTGTGTAAAGGTATATAAAAGAATTAGCAAGATGGGCTAAAAGGTAATTATTTAAATTATAATAAAAACATGGGACACATCTTAGAAATTTGCAAAGATGGCCGGCTTGGATTAGGTCAACCCAATTTTCCAATACAGTGTTGTCCTTGACATTATGATAAAACTTCAAACGTGAAAATAACATTAAAATTCACCCTCCGAGTATGTATCCAGAAAAGAGAGACAGAGGAGCAGGGGTAGAGTAAAAAGCCCAACAAGATGTAAAGAAGATGACTGCAATCCCTTTATAATATTAGTAATGCTCATGCAAACTAGAGGTAAAATAATGGATAAGTTTTCTACTCTGAGAGTCATGACAACATGTTATGCCAGAAAGCAGAGCTCAGTATCAAAAAATGTAAGAAGAAACACAGTGTTACCATATTCTATTCATCACATGCAATGCACACCACTAGATCCGGAAAAAGGTGTGACTTAATAAAGAACGAAATGCACAGAATCAGAGACTTACGAAAAGAGAAGAAGGTCAAGTGTGACCATAAGATCAAAACGAACTACATTCAGAAACATAATAAATCACACACACACACACACACACACAAAAAAAAAAAAAAGAGTCTGCAAGTTTAAATAAAAGTATCACAACAGAAGGGCTATTAATTGACGGAAGTGATGTCCTACCTGATAAATGATTTCTTATCCGAGCACCAACTATCCGTCCAGTATCCTCATCCCTTAGAAAGGATATAACTTCAGCATGGTTAAGTACAGCAGCCCCTGCTAAAGCAGCGGTACATGCTAATGAAACATTCAGACGTGAATCATTCATTTGTCCATCATAATAGACAACAGTCCCTTTCAGGCTCCGATCGTTGCCCTTTCTTGTTAAAGTGGGGAAAAGCTCAACTGACTCCTGTGCGGAATAGTATCTAGACAAGTGAAGCAAGCGTCGCCCAGCTATGAGATCATACATCTTCAAACCAGCCCAGTAGTATACCACCTCAAACCAGCTAAAACATGGAGTCATACAAGGCAGAGCATGGCAGAGATGGGGAGCATTGTCGATAACTTGTTTTCGCTCCTCCAGGGCATGGAAGACTAGCTTTAACTGGCCATAATCCAAGTTAAAAAAAGCTTTCTCCAAATAGCGAACTCCTGAGAGAAATATAGTAAAATGTTGTAATACCAATAGGTGGCAGTGTCAATGATATAGCATAAAATTTAAATACAAAGTTAATCAATAAATTGGAACAAAGCAAAACATTTAACCAACTGCAAAGGCTTTCAAGAAAAGGACATATAAGGCGTTATTTTTAAATGGAAGTATGTCTATCAGAGGAAGGCAGGTTCTGCAGACACCAGTAAATGAGTCCTTGGTCTCGTTGATGAGCATAAATCAAATGGAGCAGATAGGCATGTGAGAAGGAATTTAAAGAAAAAAAAAAAAAAAAAAAAAAAGTGGAAAAGGTGTTACTCTAGAGAGCTTTCATGACAAAATAGTTTGCTTAGTCAGGACGAGTCCATAAACCTAGCCTCCGTATCTAACTGAAGTTCAGAAACATGTTGCTTAATTGATACAGTGAAACATTTATGTGAAATGCGGGTATCGATTTCTAAATTCTAATGACACAAACAAACAAGGTATGCTTTCTACAGTTACATCTTCCAATACAGAAAGTTAATAAGAATCAGGAAAAGGAAAATAAAATTTGAAACATATCATCTGATCCACTATAATTAATCATCTCTTCAGAGAAAATCACATTCAGTCGTATCGCATCTCATAACTGTGAACCAACTCTTTCAACATCGAATTATTTGAATTAATGCTCTCCTAGCCACCTCTTGACCAATATATAATAAA